ATCCTTAGCAGCAGGAATCATCCAACCATTTTTCTCCTTTGTCAATAAGAAGGATGGATCTCTTCGCCCCTGTATAGACTTTCGTGGTATGAATGCCATCGTTGTCGGCATCGGTACGTCTGCATGAGACGAAGGTGTAGCGTCGCAGTTGTCTGCAGCTGCGTATATGGCTGAAGAGTCCGATGCGCAAGTGGCACTCTCTGCTGCGTCTGCCACAAGAAAACTCTGAAGCCTGTTGAGGCTGCTGGCGTCTTGCTTTCCTCCTGGCGTGTTTTACAGCCAGGTCGCGGCACCTCTTTTGCTCAGCCGCCAGAGAACCGGTTTGCACAGCGAGTCGCCAGGCAGCTCGATCCTCTGCACACTGCCCCCACGTGTTGATGCCACATGACTTCAAGTCCCTCTTGCAGACATCCTTTAAGCTGGGCGACCAACCAGGCAGGTTCCTTTCGCCAGCTCGCCGTACAACAGATCTTTCGAAATGTGACCCGGGTCCATTCTTCTTACGTGGCGAGCCAGCAAAGGCGCCTCACACCAAGGATGTGAACATGCTGCGAGAGTTTGCGCATTCCAGGACCTCTGTTGGGCACCTTGTCTTACCGTTCAATATAAATTGTATGAATGACATCACTATCAAACATTTAACCCTTTCCTGTGCTCAGCTCCACCTTTACCCCTCTACATGGCGCCACAGCGTTCTCCATGCTGGATCTGAGCTGGCCTCAACCAGACAATGCAAGCAGCTCCCACAGTTCCTCGGGTTCACCCCCTTTTACTGTTTTTTTATACGGGACTAGAGCCAGGTTGCCACCCCACTAACCACCTTAACCTCCACCTCCAGACAAAAATGGTGTGATGTCAGACAAAACCATACATCACACGATACGTTCAAGGACCACAACAAAGTTTACATTTCTTTCTGTTCAAAACTCAGACGAGTCCAGCTTAAGAACTAAACAGTTAAAAAACTAACTTCAGACGTAGATCTAAGGCCCGACTGTCGACATTTATACACTGCTTTTGTTTTATAAGAAATGAAAGTGGGACCATGTGTTCATTAAAGGCGATTTAAAGACATTTAAATCCTCGCTGCCTCATTAAAACGCATATTTAACAGACAGTCTGAATTTCTGGCACAAGAAATGTGAGAACTAGGAAGTGGATCATAAATAAAGTGCAGTTCTAATAGTATTCAAAGTATATTTTAATGAAGACAATTGAATTCAGTAATTTATGATTAAACTCATAACTGTGGTTTTGTGATGTTTACATGTGAAGCAGCTAATTGAGGTTTTTAGAGTCAGTATAAAAGCTGAAGGACCGAGGACATAAATGTGTGACGTGTTCTGTCAGCAGAAGCTGTGCTGGATCGTACCTCCGGTGCGTCCCTGTCCCAGGTGCACGGCCGGCTGCAGGCTGTCCTCTCTGTTGAGCAGGTGAGGGAGGTGATGGAAGATGGAGGGAAGCTGCAGGACGTTTTTACTGCTGCTGACGTTCCACAGCTTCAACCTGGTCTCCTCTGAGGACAGAGACATGGAGAAGCAGGAGATCAGGCTGATGGAGCTGTGCTGCTGCTTTAGCCACAGTTTGATCGTTTGTTCACAGCGGAGCATTTGGATCAGTACAGAACGTGCAGATTGGACCTCTTCTGATCACACGAACAGATAAAACCGGATTAGTTTATTCCAGTTTATTCAGATTAGATTCTGTTGATCAGGCTGGTTTTTAACAGACGTTAAAAATGTGTTTCAGCCCTTAAATGCTGTAAAACTGGTGTCATTTTACAGTCACACATCGTAAAAGAGTAAATTACTCTTTGTTAAAATACGAGCAAATAAATAGTTTATTATATCTGGTATATAATGCTGTGATCTACCGAAACAAGACAGAAAATCTGTAAAATAACATTTGAAGTTTTTGTTTGTTTGTTTGTTTGTTTGTTTTGTACCATTTTAAAACATACAGACATTTTTCTTCCAAATAATAATAAATATCTGGGAAAAAACAATAATTTCTCATAAATAAATAAACAGTGAGCGGCTGATTCTGGGGCTAGCAGGACCTCACAGCCTGGTTCTGGTTCTGGTTCTGGTCCTGGGCTCACCTGAGAGGCTGCTCCAGGTGCGGTTGATGTCTCGCAGCGCCTGCTTCTCAGCGATGGCCCTCTTTATCTCCTCCAGAACCAGGTTCAGCTCTTTGGACCGCCGCAGGTTCTCCTGCTCAGCCGAGTGCAGACGTTCCCTCAGAGCCAGGAACTCCCTCTGGTAGATGTCCACCACATCTCCTGCACACGGACACACAGCTTCATCACACATGGTGAACAACCGAGGATCTCAGACGAGCAGAACCAGATGTTCAAAGATGAATGGCACTAAAGCCGACAGCTTTTACCGCTCATCACTTTATGATAAATGAAGGCATTAAAACAAACCAAGAAGAATCTCTAACAGAAAAACTGCTGCTTGTGATTAAACCTCAGCACCAAGGGAACGTCTACTGTCACGAAAATATGACTGCATTAATACTATAAGCCAGAAACTCTAAAAAGCCATTTAAAGGATGTATTCTTACCACTTCACTAAATGCATGATTGCAAGATAAATAAATAAAAGATCTTATTTACAGACCCTTTCAGTCCAACACTTTATTGTAAATGAGTCAGTTTTGTACATAATCAGCCAAATATTGTGTTAAAACTCAAATATGTTGTTTTAAAGGTTGAAATATTGTGGGTTCAAATACACAACTACAGTTCATAGTAGTACAGTAGTGACTACGATAACAGCAAAAGACTGTTAAATAACGACCGCTTTGGTGCATTAAATTATCGTAAAATTTTGTATTTTTCCATTTAAAAAATGCCCCCAAAAAATAGATCCAATTATATTTAAAAATAAAAAACCCTGGTGACCCCAGTGAGGACGAAGCGGTGTGTAGATGATGGATGGAGTTTAACAAAACATGAAAAATCTAAAATAAATTAACATGAACTGTTATTATAAAATCACATAAACAACATGGAGCATTGTCATTATTATTCTTGCCATGATGTCATTTTATGTCTAATTTTCTGTAATCGAACGAAACAAGAAAAATCCATAAATCAGGATAAATGTACACAAATGTTGAATAAAGTTCATCTTCATTGTGCAGAAAAGCAAATATGATTGTTTGAAAGGTCCAGCTGTGCAGATTTATTCATCTTTTGTCAAGAATTTTCTGTAATCTGATAAAACAAAGAAATGTGAAACTGGACTTTATAATATTTCTGCGTCTCTGATGAAGCCTGATGAAAACACTGAGAGACTGGAATTAAAGTTAATTCACATTTAACGGCTGAACTGTGTTGCTGTTTTATTACATTTATTCGTCGCTGTGTGATGGAGGCAGGTAGAAAAAAACCCACATAATCTGAGTAAAAACATGAGAATAAAAATCTAAATCCTTCATCTGCTCCATCATCCCTCCGTTAATGCTGTGTGAAGGTAAATCTGCAGTAATCCTGCTGGACTCACACACTGTCGCTTCATTCACTCCATTCAGGGCTGGAGAAGAAAACACGAACAGCTCAGCCTTACATGGTTCATTTAACCAGTTATTCATGATCACTGCTGTTGATTTCTGATGAAAAAGCTTCATAGCATTACAGACCAATATCCATGAGTGTCTGAGGTCTGTCCACACAGGGATTAAAACGACAACATCTCCTTTGTTTCCCTAAAATAAAAACCTCTGTCTACATAAAAACACACCTGAAACCAACAGGTGGAGATAAAACCTGAACCACAAACCGAACCAGGAGCTAAAAAAGCAGCTGTTACTGATAAAACAGGAGAAATCTGTGAATCCAACCCACACGTTTTCCAGATTGTTTGGAGCATTCTCACATTCGTCCTGAACAAACAGAAAACCAGAGCTGCTTTCTGGAGAAGTAAAACCACCGACCGGTCTGTGATTGTTCCTCTAAAGCGTCATCAGCGGAACACAGTGTGTTGGGCCGATAGCTGCAGTGGATTCATGAGATGCTCGCTGATGACTGTTTAATGAAGCTCTGGCCCGTCGTTCAACTGCTCTGATGGAACAACCTCATCCAGCAGCAGCCAAACCAGAAACTCTCACTTCCAGCTGTTATTTATTCATTAACACATAGATCTTTCTGAGGTAGTTTTAAAACTCTGATATCCATAAATGTGACCTGGAGGCACGAAGAGGAAGTCTGAAACGATAAAGCAGCAGTTTGAGGGGATTTATTGACGTAGTAATTTATTAATGTAATAACGTTTCCTTAACTAAATATTTGACCAGACTGCATCTTGTGAATCTTTGTCAATAAATAACGTCATTTAACTTTGGACGGCACCAATCAGTGGATTAATAGGTGAATGTGATTGTACCTCGAAGGTTCAACGCACAATAAAAATCAACAGAATCTCAGTTTTCCAAAAACCCGTTCCATCGCTGACACTGAAGGTGCTCATGAGGGCGGAATAGCTGCAGAACTCCTGGGTTCTAAAGTGGTTCTTTTGCCGTTACACAGAACCTTTAACTCCTCTGACTCGCCCACGTCGCTGTGCATGAAGAGCGTTTAACCTCTCGCAGAGTTTCCAGGTGCTTGCTCCTACTTGAGTGAACTCTTTCTTTTTCTTTGGTTATTTTTTGGCCTTTTTGCCTTTATTGGACAGGAGACAGGATTTTCTCTCTGAGAGCGCACAAAGGAACATAAAAATCTTTAGAACCACTTCAGAACCATTTCAAGAGGACACGAAACCCCACGTGAAAAAATGTTCAAGAATCTTTCCAGGAACCTTTCCAGGTACTAAAGGTACGAACTGGAACCACAGAGTAGAGACGTAACACAGTCAATAAACGGAGCAGAAGAAACAGAAGCAGCTGAAAACATAAAAAAACAGCTCATCAGTCAAGTGAGACCTTATTCAAAACAAGGTGTTTAAATCGCCCACAAAGCGCTTTGATTCGTTTCAGAAGGAAAAACATCTTTAAGC